TCTGAGTACAATGGGAACACTCTAGGAACTTCAAATGTAATAGATGCAGAAAAGAAGACAGGTTCTCCCTTGTTCTCATTTTCTAAGATAATAGAAAGGATTTCACCAGATAAAACTAGTCCTGATAGCACTTCATATACACTCAGAGGGGTATGATTAATTTATTGATTTGAAACGAAATTATAATTTAATTAATTATTATCATTATTAAATCTTGCATCTAGTTGGGAAAAGATATGACATCATATATTCAAAATGAATTAGAAGCATTAGAAAGAGAACAAACTCAAATAGATATTCAAGCTGGTAAACTTGAGAAACAACTTCGAACTGCAATGGAAAGTGATAATGAAGATGAAACAGAAAGACTGATGTCTCTTTGGTTCACGCTTGTTAATAAAAAAAATGCATTGTTGAGAAGACAAATGCAATTGAATATATTGTAAGTAATTATATGTTTAATATTTTATCAATCATCTCAAATACTGTTTCCTTTTATTAAATCCTTTTTCTATTATTCCTTCGTCAATTTCAATATTTTAGAGAAAAAGAAGACGATCTGGAACGACGTTTTGAATTATTAAATCGTGAATTGAGAAGCATATTAGCGGTAGAAGAATGGAGGAAAACTCCTGAACAAAAAATGCGAGAAAATTTACTTTTAGAAGAACTAGTTTCAATAGTAAATAAAAGAGATGAATTAGTTCATCATCTTGATACACAAGAAAGAGCGTAAGTATAAAATGTTAATTTACATTAAAACTAAGTTATTATTTATTATTATTATTATTAATTAAAAATTAATATTGAAGATTAAGAATATAAGAATATCATTTATTTTTTTCTAAAAAATTAAAAATTTTTGTATATTTTTGTGAATGTTATATTACATTTTCAATTAATTAATTATTTTATTGCAGTATTGAAGATGATGACGAAATAGAACGTAACTTATCTAGAGCTGGCTTGGCTCAACGAAATAAAAATTGCATGATACAATGAAAATGTTTTATTTTTATCGATACGACGAAAATGACAAGTAAGTGAATCTTAAATATTACAGAAATTTTTAAATTTAAAAGTTGGTGATATAAAATTCAATTCCTTTCTTAGACAAAAAATATTAAGTAATTTTTAACTTAGAATAATTGTAGGCACGATTCATTTTGCTGTGGTGTTGCCAAAGAAAACATACTAAAATTGTTCTCAAAGATAAAATCAAGAACTTTATAACCTGTAAAACAGTAATAGTTAGGAACTTATTTTGTACTATGAACTATATACAAATTGTACAATCCATGTTTTATATTTATACAAATTCATTAAGTACAGCATCAACAAAATACTATTTCTTATAATAGATCTAAGTTCAAAATGAAAACCGGTCCGTCGAAGAAATACACAAAAATAATGGAAGTCTGTTATGAGATTGTGGTAATTGTAGGAAGAATATGTTGTTAGAAAAAATGAATTTTGATTATAGTTCAATACATTTACTTGTAATGTCTCATTATAAAAGCAATAGTAGAAAAATAGTAGGAAAAAGGTTACATAGGAAATTTTTAATTTAAATAAGGTGCTCGAATCTCAATGACAAAATTAGATATTAAACATTAAATAAATTACTTAACACAAAAAATTAGTATTAAATATTAAAAATTACATAAAGATTACATAGATTATTTATGAAAGAAAAAATTAATTATTATAAAATACTTTGGAAAAAAGTTTTAACGACTTATGTTCATGTTGTGCCATATAAATAACCTAATTTTTTACATGAGTAACTGTTTGTGTATAAGATATTTGTTATTTTAGTAATATGTAATATGCAATTATACATAGAGAATATCTTATTATTTTATTCATTTTTAATTTCTGAGTTTGATATTAATATAAGGCCTAATTAATTTGGTACATCATGAATATATAAAATATTATTATATATTTCTGCTTCTCAAAAATAATTAAATGAAATTATAAATGATATTTGTTGTTTAAGAATTGATTTTTACTTAAATATCTTTGAATTCATTGATATTTTAATTATTGCTGAGAATAACAAACAATAGATAAAATAACAATAAAATAATAACTCAGAATTAAATTGTTAAAAATTAATAATTCATAGAAATGTAGAACAATTAATATGCATATTGTATTTATTTATATCTTTGATTATGTAATGTATTTGTTTAATTTTAGCAATGTATTTTATGTGTACAGGGTCATATCTTACATAACTGAGATTAACTATATCGTTAAAATAAACATATATATTGTAAAGTAAAATTAAATGCTTTATTGCGCACTGTAAATATTTCTATATTGTTTTTATAAATTAGCCTACTTGAAAAGTGCTTTCTAATAAATGGAATTTTGTTCTGGAATTTTTCAAAAAAATATTATCACACTAAAAGTTGATAATACATGAGACATAAACATCCAGAGACATGCGTTGAAAAAAAAAAAGAAATTATCAGTAAGTAATAATAATGGTAAGATAAAAATTGAGTAGTTTGCAAAGTCAATCAGTGATACGTCAAAGTAAACTAATTTGATAATATGTTGATTCTGAAGCTATTAGTTTCAAAATTATTTTAATTTTAAAATTATTGCATGTTTTTGAGTATCAATATATTATTAGTATAGAAAACAACTCGATTATTATCTTATCAAATGCTTATTTTATCAATGAAATATTTTATATTAGTAATTAATTCATGTCTATAAAATAATGGTAGTACTGTGTATATCTGATTGTAACTCTGAAATATATGTGTATAATTGCACTTTTCAGGTATACAGACATATAAGAGTACATGTATAAAAATATATGTATGGTATTTTTTAGTGCCATTCTTTTTTTTTTTTAAATCTCTGTATTCAACTGATTATGGTTCATTTCATTTATGCACGAGATAACTTATCTCAATTGTACATTCAATTGTACACATTTAAACAGAACTAAATAGAAAATACTACATATAAGTAGTACATATAGTAATGATTGAAAGCATTATATTAGATTGTTGCATATGATTGCACGTATGAATTTTATAAGCGTATAAAATTCTTTAAAATTTTGTGATTAAATATTTATTAAACATTGGTTTGGTTTGAAACTTCAATGTAATTGATGTTTTGCTATTTGTCTTATTTTATTCATTTATAAAAGATTATATATCAAAATGAGTCATGAATAATTATTTCAGTGAATTTTCTATAAAACTTGAAATTTCGATTTGATGAAGCTAATTTTGAACGTAATATTAATACATATTATTGAAAAACTTAATTAGGTAATTAATACTTGTTATTCATGAAAAAAGTTAAGATTAAAAAATATGAATATGATCAATGCACTATAAAATTTTTAACAATACTTTTAACAATACTCAACTAAAGATTTCAACAATAATAATAATAATAATAATAATAATAATAATAATAATAATATAATAATAATGTAAAATAATATAAAATTGTTTTATAATGGATGAAATATATGGATGAATATAAAAAATTAAAATTTGACTTAATATTATTCTTATACAAATTATTGAAATATATTACGATTTTGCTATTTAATTTGCAATGATCTAATATTATAGGTCGATAGAAGATGATTTTTTACACAAAAACTTTTAAATTATATATAAAATTTTAAATACATAAACAATTACGCAGAGAATTTATACAGAAACAATACAAGAATGAATCGTATGACGAATTATGTATTTGTAACATAATGCATATGGACACAATAGATTTTTAAAATTGATTTTCTTTAAAAACAAGTAAATCTGGGGTAAAAAAATTTTAACCCACATTTCTCATTCATTTTAAAAATTCACCTTCCATCTATTTATATAATTCTTTCGGCTGTGCCCTATATATATACACACATGTAAACAAATGGACTTATTTAGTTATTTAGTAATTTTATAAAAAAATTTCTTTAATTAATTTTTCAGTATTATCATTAACATAGTACTGTCATTAACGGTTAAGAAACCGTTATATCAGAAAATAGGAAAAGAATATGTATACAATGTTCATATAATATAATTCGTTTTTTGCTTGTAAAAAATAAAATTTATTTTTATTTACAAATTACATGAGGTACATATATAAAATTAATACTTGAAAAGCATTAAGCAACAGTTGCTTTATCAAATAAAAGAACTAAGCTAAATAAAACTTAGTTAACATAATGTAATGGGATTGGTGCAGGCATATCACACTGAATGTAACTGCCATAATCAATCAGTAAACACATAGAGAACAATGCTTCTATGAAATATGCATATATAAAATAGAAAATGCTTTGTAAATTCAGTTTAAAAGTGAATAAAACTATGGAATTTTGCTTTCGACATTGATGTATATTTATTAGGTAAATTTGATTTCAATAATAACTCATGAAAAATAATTTAAAAAAATTTAAATAGGCTGAGTCGGTTTTTGTTAACTTTCATGTATTTTTAATTTTTACATAATGAATGTTATTGTACATAAAGCTTTACAATAATTGAAATTTTTCAATATTTTTGGTAATTTATAGATCGAATATAGCACAAAATGTATCTAAAAATATCAAGTTGCAAAATGAAATACGATTGTGCTAAATTTTGTTCGTTCTGCTGTAACTATTCTAGTGTATCTATAGTAATACATGGTCTTTCTATTGTAATAGATATTGTTCGATTTCTATGACTAATTTAGCAATAATTTATTATTTTAATGTCCATAAATATTTATATCTGTAGGTGAGAGTGCTGAATTATGTATGTACAGAGCTAATAATTATAAGATATGTGTATGTGTCACAGATTTATATATATACAGTGTATCTCATAATAATCATTTAATCAACCTGAAATTAATAGTTCAATAAATAACATATTTTTAAGGCGATATATAATTAAATTAAGACGAAATATATGTTTATTTTAAAATTTAAAAAACTGGAATAATGGGATTATATTTAAAAAACGAGATTATTACGTTATAAAATTGTTTTTTGTACTTAAATTAAGTACGCTATATCTATAATTGAATTAGTTATATTCGTTGCGTAATTTCGAGGTATTTGGTATACTTCACAAAAAAACGCTCTCGTATGCGTGTTGTTATATGTATGTATAATATTATGCTAAAATAGTTTCAATTTATTTTATTTGTTACTATTAAAAATATTCATTACAGTATATCAAAGTTATAAAAGCAATGACAATTCTTGCCAATGTAATATTAAAAGAATGAATTAACTTGTAAATTATTTCTTGTGAAAATTGTCAAGGGTGTAATATGTCAAAACACAGTAGTACATTAATAATAGAAATAAATAAAGGACTACAGGAAAATAAAAGAAAGCATTTTTATTAATATTTATTAAAACCTTTCCGCAATAGATGAACATATATAATATTGTTTATGCGATAATCATTTGTAGAAAAATTTTCAAAAAAAAATCTTCAATCTAAAAACAGTGGAGATAAAATGAGAACAGGAGAGAGAGAGAGAAAGGAGAGGGAAAGAAGTAGGAATAGAATAAGAGTTCATGAGAGCGTAAGAAGTCAGAGGATTTAGAACGAGTTTATTAGTGGGAAGGAAGTTTTAATTTTAAGGAGAATACAATGTACATAAGTCATAAAGACCGATATCTCTAATCAATCGATTAGGATATTTAGAATCTTCATTAGAAATTAGAGAGATCGTTAAAGAAATTTTAGTTCCTCTTAGTTTCCTATGCATCTCAGAATATGATGGTCTTGAGCAGTTTATTCTAGATTGTTCGAACTCTCTTTATGAATTCCCACCGTGAACTTGTCTTGGAAGATGCTTTGCTGGTCATACCGATAATCTTGATAATTTTTGCAGAAACATTGGAAAAGAAAGCTTGTAGGACTAGCTACAGGATTTTTTTAAAGCCTTCCAAATTTAATAAGAGTGGAATTGGGAAGAGTTGGGAAAGAGAATTGATTTGCAGAAGAAAG